TCTGTCTTATCCAAGAATTCTACCATTACAGTAGTATTATAGCGGCGTTGTATTATATTTCCTGTAAAGAAACTCATGTCCAAAATATATGTCACGGCAACCAAATCCAGTTGTAAATGAAAAAGACGATAATAGTGGATTCACATAACAACCTTCTCAAGTCCCTTGCGTGCAATCGAATTGTTCAGTTAAAAGTCTTTACTTGACTTGGCAAATGACGGCAAACTACAGAACATTGAAGTATTAAAGATTATGGCACCACGTAATATGTTTTGAGACAAAATAATTCGATAATATAGTGTGTTTGATCCTTTATCCGATTAAGCAAAATACATATGCAGCAATTTAATCCTGTTCATTTATATATATATATATATATATATATATATATATATATATATATATATATATATATATATATATATATATATATATATATATATATATATATATCTACGACAGAATGTAGACCAAATGTAACCAATAATTGAATATGACAGCATAAACATGTCAGGTATTTCGTCAATAATTAATTATTTGCAGCCCCATAATGTTTGCGTCAAACAGAGGTTAATATATTGTACATGAACTTAATGAAGTATATACTCCTAGAATTATGAGGATTGTATAGGAAACGTTTTCATCTGTTCTGCCCTATAATACCCTCTCTCTATTAAAGAAGAAAATGATACAATATTTAAAGTTTGTTAGAAATTGCTACTAATAATTGCATTAACAGCTGCATAGCAAAATTAAGAAAATCAATTCCTGTTCTATCTGGGCTGCAAGTCTTCCCAGATTTTAGCTTAAGTATAATTTGAGTATCTTCATTTTGAGATATGCGTTCATTTAGAATTCAAAATATCCAAAGGTAACTGAGACAACATAATAACATAATTTTGTCATCTTTGCTATTATCGTTCTCTGTAGCAGGCCAAATATTGATATATTTATGTTTTCTTGAAGACACTGAGTCGCCGTTATAAAACAAATTCATCATTGCGTCCATCAGTGTATACATATCAAGATATATCAGTAAGAATCTCTCAATAAATCTTTTTCACATAGGTACTAAAAGGAGCAATAAATATATAAGATCAGAAAATTCATTAAAGAATATGAGATACTAGAACTGGAGACGTGCAAATGCTGGATTATTAAGTATTTAATTATTAACATTATGTCGATGATTCTATGAAATTTAAACCATAATGATGGAATAATATACATGTATTCAGTGTAATGTATAAAGTAGTAATTGCTGGTAATTAATACAAAGAGCGCGAACGTGTTTTATCATCACAGTGACCTATAACAGAGTACATAACTGTAGTGCTTGTCATGTATATCGCACGAAACTGTTTACAACCTCAGTAATACTGCTTAAATAAAAAACTTGTATTGTTAAACTATAATTAGTGTACATTATTTAATATAATTGCTCCAACCAGGATTAGTTTCCGTTTGCCAAAACGTTACCATGTATGTTCTTGGAATAAAGAAGTTATATATCCTATGCATGTAAATCTGCTGCTGTAAAGTACTATACTAAAGATCATGCGATAGTATTTTACACATAGTAATTTAATGAAATACATCAAAATTCTGTTTACCAACATTAGCAATGTTAGAATATTTAGTAATCTGCGGAACTCGGCTATCACAAATACCTTGAATTCATCCAGATGCAGGTTCGCTCAAAACCACAAATTAATAAAACAATATTGTCCATTATTAAACAGGCGGAAATGATAATACTATTCATAATAAATGCACTGCAATGTGCATATGCTGTTCTTTGTGGTTTCCTTTTCACCATTTTCTAATATTGTCTATCACTCAAACTTGCCTTTAATAAGTATAACATTTGAATGAGAAACGGTCACTTTATGAAATATTGAATTTGTTATTTTATAGTTCTCATAAAGTATTTATAGCACAATAATATATTTTGCCTATACTTTAATTCGCATGGATAATAGGTTTATTATACACATACAATATATTTAAATATGTTTTGTGTTTTGTATTTCATGAAAACCTGGGTTTCAAACATTGTAAGTTGTCAAACACTCAACTATTGTTTTTGAAACTTTAATATTATATGAATGTATCTTGCATTTCATAAAGTATAAATAAAGAGGATACAATGAATATTTTCTCTTTCAATCAAAAGGTGTGATTTAAAACCTCCTGTCTGTCTGTCAATGCAATGGTATTATAGTATATTGCTTACATTATTAAAGAGAGTCAACGAATAATGAATTTCCCTGGAATACAGTAAGAAACTGTAACGAGAACGTATGGTATTGCGAATTAAATACCTAATAATACTCTAATCTCAAGCATACAATAGACATTAGGTTCTGTAGTGGTATTCCAAAAATAAACTTTCACTAGAAGTGTTGACGTTCATGGATAATAACTGTTGTAGTGATCCGTCAAAAGACTTTTGTTGTATCACATTAAACGAATTCGAGAATGTATATGTATTTAAATTTCGACATTAGTCCCAGTATATATTTCCAAAATGATTTTTATGAGTGAATTATATTTCAAGATGAGTATAAATTGAACTAAATAAGTTTTATAAACTTCACGTTAAATGAAATACTGGACACATCATAAATACAACTGATTCTTCTCAGAGCTTACAGATCGAACGGATAATTTAAAGAAGACGCTATAGACCTTCATTTTACCTCTGGAAACAAATATTATCTCACAATCGATTACTACTTACTGAAAAATTTCAGTATGGAAGGTTTAACTGATTAAACGAAACTAGCGTGTTTTTCATTATAAGGTCTGTTCCTAAAATTATAACGTAAAATGGCAAACAAAAGGCTGGAGTATATCCAATGTGCTTGACTAAGACAGCAACAAAAAAAAAAAAATTAGGCAAAAATCCAAATCCAATTCTTCAAGTCAGGTAGAATAGAATCTTGATATTTTGACCAGGTCAAGTAAAAAATACAATTATACACAGGATAAGACTAATAAAAATCCAAGACACATGTCACAAACTCCCGCACAGATAGTTAGATGCTTATAACAGGGCAGGGGGGGGAATCTTTAGAACAAGTGATCATTACTAAACTGACGACGACAACAACGAAATTACACTAATAATATTAAATGTATTACATATACCATTAATAATGCAAACACACACACATACACAACTTTTGCTGTCCAATAAGTTACCAAACAATAACAAATTTCATTCGATCATTTTGCTTTTTTGTGCTTATTTATCCATAACTTTGTGACAACAAGAGATATTGAATGAAATTGTGTATATCATAAACTGTTTGATGTATGTATGTATGTAATTTTCACAGCCAGGCAAAGAAAACTGTAAAGAAGTGATTGAGTGCATCGTCTCTATCACACCATGTAAGCTAATGAAGATGTAAAGAAACAAATTAATCAAGAAAGGTACATGGTTCTCTTGTTCTAGTATTCTAAGCACAAATAAAATTACCTTTTGCAGCCGAAATATTTTCTTTAAAATGATTCTCTAAATTTGTTTAATATCCTGCAGTTATTACTATAATATTGAGATATGATGCATATTATTTGCGCACACTCACATCAACACAAACGTCGTTAAGACTCACTGATTTATAGGTCAATACAACTATTTTTCATTATCCTCAGCAATTTGATATAAATTGGTTGAAACATAATGAATTTTAAGGCTTAATTCCTGTAAAAACAGACATGTAAACTTTTGTAAACAAAGATTTTTCTGTTTTATGTTTTTTTTTGTCTTGATGTTTAGTAAAAGCCTTTGAAAAAGACTCATTAAGAGTCAAAAAGGCTCAGACAAGATATATACCACCAGTCTTGGCATTGGTAGCTGTCAGTTTAATGCATATATATATATATATATATATATATATATATATATATATATATATATATATATATATATATATATATATATATATGAGTAGTTTCAGTATTAAACCATTTATGTTTGTATATATTCTAAAAGACAATTTCAAGGGATATTAATGCTAACATTTTAACCTGATATGGTTCAAATTCTGAATATAATACTGCTAAAAATAAACTTAATGCTTTTATAGTTTAAATATAACGTGTAGATATAACGTTTTAGTACACTAATTTCGGAGACTACTATTCATATGTTTTATTACTTCAAAATTAAACCGATAGATCCGCATTAACTCAAACGCAAATTACGCCTTCGATTATTATTATTTCCCCTGATGGTCTTAATGTACTCAAACGTTATATTTAAACGATAAAAGCATTAAGTGCATTTTAGCAACATTATAATCAGAATTTTAGCAATATCAGGTTGAAAATGTTTGCATTAAGGTCCCTTTAAATTGTCTTTTAAAATATATACAAACATAAATGGTTCATTCTAGATAATAAGTTTTGTATTATCGTTTTAAACTACTCTTTTCTCATCTCTTCATTATGGACGTATCCTATAAACTGGTTTCGTGTAAAATTACCATCGAAGTCATTATACATAAGAGGAATTGTAGAAATGATTTACTAAACTTTTTATGTATGTGCACGTTAAAGAACTAGATGTTATTATAGTATCAAACTGTTTATAGCCATTAAATTTATCAAATTATTCATCAGTACTTCCCACTTCTACATGTTTTGCATAAGCTCCTAATGTTGAATGTATGACAATTTTGGAGGCAACTACATGACAGCTTGTATTTCAATGTTTATCCTTAAATTCCTAATGTAACATCATAAGTCCATCGGAAGTTTCTCTTTTAGCTGTACATTGAGCTCGGATGGCATTTATCACACAGTCAGTTATCTAGATCATAGTTCCATTCCCCAGAGAATTCTTTACTTGCATGTTTTGTGAATGAACTCGGCGACCGCTGACACCCTTATCATGCACACAGCTGCTCTGTCAGGTGCGATATCACTTGTATGTTTCATACTCACTATAACAGATCATGAATATCACCGACAAACGTACATATTGGACCTCTCCAGTGGCCTAGTGGCTAGAGCATCGGCCTAAGATGAAGAAGGTTATGGGTTCGAACCCCAGCCGTGTGATCCCAAAGATTTTACAAATGGAATTAACAGCTGCCTTACTTGGCGCTCAGCATTTAGTGGTTAGTGTTAGGAGTGGTCGACCTTGTGTCAGGATAATGTGACTTGATGGGACATCAGACTACATGTCTGCGGCATGATGACCCAGTGCTAGACATCTCTATCAATAGATATTATAGCGACGACTGAACAATTATTAAAACTATTTTAGAAAACTAAATCTCTCTCACGCACCTGCACTCACACGCTAGTACCTATATACAATAGTTTTGCATATTTCGAAAAAAAAAAACGGTTGTTTTCTAAACTTCTTTTTAATATACAAGTAGAGCTTTCCATTTAGCGTGTAATTTCTTCAAACACAATTTGAGTCAAATGACCCAAAAGTTTTTCAAGACCTGTTTTCAGCATGTTTTACTTATCCTTAGAACTATTAAATTTGACAATTTTGTTTTGTATAGGCTTAGTGTTTATCAGCTGCAACTGTGGGATGGATGTTTGTTAATATTCTCTGCATTTGGCAAATGAACGTTGCCCAGTTTCATCATACACCCACTTAACACTCGGTATGTCGATAGCAGTAATATCCTGTCGAGACTTGGCTGTAGTCAGAGATTTTGATATCATTAAATGAATGAAAAACGAATGTGTCACTTCAGTGCGTAGAATACATGTTAAATGTAACAACAATCTGCATGAAACTAACACTATTATACTCACACTTATTACACCAACAGCACCCAGAGTGGTCATCGTTGTTTGTCTTTTCGAAACCCACTTCGATTGTATAAGTGTCAGAAATATGGGCATCATGAAGACCGCTGCTCAAAAACCAAATATGTGGCCGATGCAGAGATCATTCTTACCAAGAAGCTTAGTATAGAGCAACTCTGTGTTGTGTTAATTGTGAAAAGGAGCACCACGCCAATTCTAAGGATTGAGACACCTGGAAAAAGGAGAAGGAAATGCAGAGGGTTAAATACAGAAAACATTACTTACTCAGAGACCAGAAAGCTTGAACTGGCCCATATCCTTCTCCACTGTAGTGAAGAACAATCTCAAAGTAACAGAAAATGCTCAAATATAGACTGATCCAACCGAGTCAACATCAAGCACTAACAGCTCCCATTATCAAACGCAAAAACAAAATATCTACCCAAAACAACTTTTAATAATAGCCAACCACTTAAATCACCAAAGAATAAAAGCAGATCTAAAGGAAATAGGCAGAAAAAGGGGAAAGATGACACCATGAAACTCTACAACAGGTTTGGAGATATTGAGAGTACGTTTGCAGACGAAACTGATCCATCCTCTTAAAGTAGCTCCAGACCTACCAGCAAAAACGTCATACGGTACTTCCTCCAGAGAAATAACCAAACAGATTATTTCTGCGAACAGATAAACCTATCTTCTCAATCTCCACTTTAACATTAGAATAAAAAACATCAATATGCATTGAAACGGCCACGGACGTAGAGCCAATTACCATGAATTTCCTCTTCTTTTAATCTAATATAATCCTGCAAATACTTTGCCTTCTGCAAAACGTTTGAAAACATACGGATAGCATCACACTTAAAAACTACTCTCTGTTTAACACCCACATACAGATTTTTGACGGACCCTGAGGAATGATTTATATTATTGATGTGAACAATAGAGTCCCACGTAGCGTCATCCCTTTAAAAACAAATTTGAAAGCCATTAGTGTGTGTCACTCTTCATTGGGCTATTGTATTTTGTTATATTTGCATACCACCAAATAACAACTTATTGCTTCAATAATTGTACATTATTGTTCAAAAACGTCCCGCTCCATTTTTTTTTCTCAATGATTTGAATGCCTATAAAAAGTTGTTTGGATCAAATTACAAAAGCGACAGTGGCATAACGGTTGAAAATATTATTACTTAACACGACTTGTGTCTATTTAATACAAACTCTTCGACGTACAAGCATACAGGAATGGGTACATGACGTGTGTCTATTTAATACCAAATGTATGGCGTACTTGCTACAAGGAAAGGGTACATACTCGTGTATCGACATGACAATTTGTTCTCCTTCACTTCTTTTGGATTATAATTGGATGGTTGCGTTTGATCACTTTCCAATCACACTTTATAACACCAACGCTACTTTTGATGATACTATTATACAATTAAATTTAAAGAAGGACGACCGGGTCAAATTTGATACACTTTGTACAGCTAGGTCTATCAATAATGCTGTTCTCAATGACAATGACCCTATTTGACACTTTACATCCTTCTTATTGATATTGCTGAAGAATCAATTCCTCTGTCCTCACCTAACGGCAAAATAACGCAAAAATACTGGTTCACTAAGGAATGTAAAGAAGCCATTAGATGAGGCGGGAAAGCCCTGAAAAATTCAATAATCGTCCGAAGCCGGAAAAGAAACCCAGCAGCTTTATTGTTCGGGCCAAAGCCCGTCGCACGATTAACGAAAGTAAAAGAAGAGCATTATATTAACGTTCCTCTATAAAGAACGTTTGGGGCACGATAAAAAAATGGAAATGAAAATACAATTCTTTACGACATATGAAAGAAACTGACAAAAATTTAAATGCCAAACATAAAATAGCCTAACATACTTGATGGTTGTTTCTCTAAAATTCCTCATCATTTGATTATTCCGAAGCTTTCCCAAGATTAAAAACTCACAAAGAACAAACGAGTAACTCGGAATTATAACTAAATATTTTCGTTGTCGGAGCTTATGGAATCCTTGAATAAGGCCCACAATACATGCACTATGGCTGACGATATACATTACCAGTTTTTAAGCACCTTACAGAACCATCAACGACAATTCTTCTAGACATCTTCAATGACTGATGGATTACTTGTAATATACCACAAATTTTGACAGAAGCAACAGTAAAACAAATTTCCAAAACAGGCAAAGATAGCGAGTATACTACCAACTCTAGTCTCATATCACTGACTAGCTGCGTATGCATAACAATGGTACAGATGATTAATTCTCAGCTTGTGTGGTGCTTGGAAACCAACAATTTAATATCTCTTATCTAAAGTGGCTTTCGATATTGCCATAGTACCAATGACCATTTGGTTAAATTGAAAATGTTTATTCTCGACGTTTTCATCAAGAAAGAGCACAGTAGCGGTTTTCTTTGATTAGGTAAAGGCCTATGACACAGCAAAGAAGTACGGAATAATAAATGACCTGAACGATCTGAGCCTACAAGACCGACTGCCCTCTTGCTTTCAAAGTACCTCTCAAACAACAAAATAAAGGTACGAGTGGGTTCCACCCTCTCTCTGATATGCACGATCAAGAAATGGGTGAGCCCTGGGACAGTATTCTATGTGACGCTTTCCACATTAAAATCAAAAGCATTATCAAGTGTATGGCTCCTGGTATGGATTGTTCCCTATACGTTGATGACATATTAGCATGTTACCAATCAAAGCATATGTCTACAATTCAAAGACTACTACAGCAAAATATTAATAAGATTAAATATAGGGCAAATACTAACGGTTTTAAATTCTGGAATCAAGGACTCGTATGAAACGAAAGTTTTGGTATTATCTTCGAGAGAAAACTAACTTATATCCCACACTTAAATAATTTGAAAGTTGAATGCTTGATATTTTTGGATTTACTTAACGTTGTAGCGCACACTGAATTGGTGCTAATAGCAAAGTCATACTCAATTCGTATAGAATGTTTACTCGCTCAAACCTAGACTATATTTGCGTTGTTTATGGTTCAGCTAGGAAATCTGTTGGATGATGCTTAACCCAATTCATCGTTAGGGAAGAAGACTCGACGTGGGAACATTTAAGACTTCCCCTTGAGAAAGCCTGCTCGTTGAAACAAACGAAACCACCTTTATCACAACGTATATAAGTAATATATGCACAGTACGCTTTCAAATTAAGATCAAACCGTCTGAGCCCTACTTTTCTAGCTGTTTGTTTTTAACCCAAATAAAAACCGTATATAAAAACTACCGTCATACATATATTTGGTATCATAATTTTACCATGTCTTGTTAGTTCTAAAATAGATCTTTCAAAATTCAGAACGCGTCCGTCCCTGAAACACCACCCTAGCTACTTCATCAACCAATACTACATTTTGCGTTACACAATGGAAACAAATCGGAAACAAACCCTTCCATGTTTTACAACTCTTATCTAAAACTTAACACACAATTTGATAATTATACAAGAATATATACTGATGGATCAAAATATGAGGAAAATGCTGCTGTAGTCTTCGTTAGTGGAAACCACACAACAAAAGTTCGCTTGCCAGATGGCACATCATTTTTCTAAGCCGATATCAGACCACTAGGCCTTGTCTTGAAATATACTAAAAGCAACGTATTTTATACAGCATCACCATCACCTATTCACTATCAGTACTTCAATAACTACATAATAGAAAACTGGAGAATTCATTATTAGCCAATAGTCTCCTCGAACATTACATGCTAAGTGCTTATTACAATATAGTATAAAGTAGGTTACCCAGCCATATTCAATGTAAATGAGAAGATAAAGCTGACCACGCTGCTAAACTGGCCATATCACTAGAACGATCTGATTTTAAATACCTTATACTGATTTTAAACGTAGTAGTAGTATTAAAGAACGTTTACCTCAGAAATGGCAGGCATCTTGGAATGATGTTGTGAATAACAAACTCCATTCCATGAAACCAACCCTAGGAGAATGGATTCCTTCCTACAGAGCCCTCTATAGTGACGAGGTAGTCGTTGCAATAATTCAAATTTGCCAGATCCATTTAACCCTCTTCTATATTCAAAAAGGAGAAGACCCAACGGAGTGCATTTCTGCCAATGTTCCATTCACAATTAGGCACTTTATGTTGGAGTGTTTCGACCTCCAACATGTGATCAGTATCACGATGTGCTTGAAATTAGGGAGATCTTCGCATTTCTTCCTGAAGGAAGTGAATATTTATTACAAGCTATATCGT